TATGCATTAGTTATTACGAGTAATTAAAAACAACTTCAGGGGTCAGGGAGATAGCTTAGTAGAATAAGCATTTGCCTGGCAAGTACAGGGTCCTGAGTTCAATCCCTGTACTGCCAAAAAAAACCTTCAATTATTTCTGTTGAAATTCTTGTACCATAGGTGTCTTTGCATTAAATGAATTTCTTTATCTTCCTAGGCAACTGAATTATAATTTTACTAAAAGATAGCTATAATTTTCATTGAAGTTGATTTATTATGTAGGAAAACCAAAAAAATAAAAAAGAATTTGTCACAAAATTATGACAAATACTTGTGACGTTTCTTGAGACATACCATTCCATTGTTTAGTGCCTTTTGTTTATTCTTCTCTTCCTTTTAGTTTTAAACTTGGACCTGTCAGATAAACTACTATAAAAATAACTCTACTAAAAAAGAAATAGTTTGTTTAAAAAATTTTAAAACAAATACACTTGGAAAAATTAAGTAAGAGCTTGTGATTTCTTGGCTCATTCTATCCTCCTTCTGTGGTAAAGAAGATGTTCCCTTGTATTAGTCAGGGTTCTCTGGAAAACAGAAATAGTGGAATGTGTATGTATACAGCGAGATGTTTGTTTTAAGAGACTGGCTTCTGTAATTATGGAAGTTTGACAAATCCAGTCTGCAGGACAGACTGGCAGAATGGAGAATCAGGTAAGAGTTTGCCATTTGAGACCAGAGGCCCATCTACTGGAAGAATTCTTTGTCTTCCTGTGGAGGACAGTGTTCCTGTTAAGGCATTCTGCTGATTGCGTGAGGCCACGCATATTATGGGAAGCACTGCTTTCCTCAGTGGAACGAGTTAAATGAATTAATTGAAAAAAAATGCCGCCACAGAAACATCTAAATAGTGTTTTTACTGTAACCTAGCCACATTGACACATAAAATTAACCATCATATCTCTAATTTAGCTTTTTCATTTACTGTATTCTGCTATGTGCCAGATTATGCTGAGGATATGGTGGTATACCAGATGGTTGCATAGTCTGTCTCTCATGGTATTCATAGTCAATGATGGAGCGTTGTTTGTATTATTTGATGGGTCCATTAATTTGGTAAACTTAGGTGAAAACTTCTATAGAATGTTGGTTTCTTAAAAAAGAAAAGAATATTAGTTTATTTTTTGACTCTTTAGAAAGTATTATTTTTAATTCATCCTAGTATTTGCCTGTTTCCTAGCTTTTTGACTAACACAAACCTGTCTCTGAGCCTCTAATACAATGTGTTTAGAAAATTTCATGAGATCAGCACTTAAGAGGGTGAGGCAGGAGGGTCACCATGAATTCAAGGCCATCCTGAACTACAATAGGGAGACCCTGTCTCACAAATCCAAAAAAAGAGGGGGGAAAAGAGACCCTACATGATAAAACAAACAGATATAAAGTAGCTATTCATTATTGATTACTGGAATCTATCTTATTAAGAAAAGTCTTGTGTGTGTATTGCTTGAGGTTAAAAGCACAGCCTTGTATACAGGAAGCACGTGTTCTATTGAGCTACACACCCAGCCTTGGCTTTTGTTTTTTTGTTTTGTTTTGTTTTGTTTTGTTTGTAACATGGAATGATTCGTCTTGCCTACCTCGTGATTCTTTAGGTGGAAGTTATCTATGATACAAGTTTAAAATAGATGACAACTGTGCCAATTCTTTATAGAAGCTAAAATAACAATAACTAAACTTTAGTTATGATTTCAGACATCTCTGTTGAAAGCTGGTTCTAAACACCAACATCCCATGTGTAAAATGAGACTGACTGCATTCATATTAGGTTCTTATTGCTGCTACAATAATTACCACAAACATAGTAGCTTAAAATAGCAGAGCTACCTGATAGTTTTGAGGCCAGAAATCCAAAGTAATATTTAAGAAGGCTGTCTTTCTTCTTCAGGCACTGTATTTCTTCTTAAGGCACTAGAGGACAATCTATTTTATTGCCTTTTCCAGGTTCTAGATTCCACCAGCATTCCATGTCACATAACTGCTTATACTATTTTTAAAGCCAGTAAGTAGCATAGCATCCTCAAGTCTTTCTTCTCCTTTCCCTTCCTCTCTCCACCATGCCTCCATCCTCACATTGTCTTCTCTGACTCAAACTCTCTTACCTTCTTTTTTTGAGACAGGGTCTCGCTATGCAGTTCAGGCTGGCCTTGTGCTCACTTTTGTAACCTGGTAGGCTGGTCTTGAACTCACAGAGATCCTCCTGTCTGAACCTCCTGAGTGCTGGGATTACAGACATGCTCCATCATGCCCAGTTTTGAACCAGGCCGCACGGTGGACCCTGGGATCTAGAGCTGAGATCCCTATACCTACCCTAGGGATCTAGGCGGAGACCGCAGGGCATGTGGGGCTGGAGAATTAAACTTGGGTCCTTGTGCTTGCCAGGTAGATGCTTATGCCTCTTATCTATCTCCCTGTCCCTACCATTCTGTTATAAGGTCCCCTATATTTATACTTGGTCTACCTTAATTTGGTCACACCTGCAAACTTCCATTTACAATTCTTTAGAAGTACTAGAACTCAGAAAGGTGTGTACGGGATGCCCCATCTTTTCACCTTGAAATAGGGTAGATCATCAAACTACAACATTCTAATGGCTTTGTAGGAACACTGTAATTGTCTTAAATCGTGTGTATTTGTGTGTGTATGTGTGTGTGTGTGTGTGTGTGTCTCTCTCTCTCT